GTAATAGGCATAGCGTGGAGTGGTGTTCCCCCGTGGCGTAGCTGTAGTTTGTACTGGTGGGAGACTATTACCAAATCCGAAATCGAATCCCGGAGAGCTACTGCCAGAATGGGGATCTATTTGTGGTTGTTGATAGTGGCGGCTGTTGGCAATGTGAGAGGCAGTGTATGCGTTTGGAAGAGCAGCGAGGCCATCCTCGTTCTCGCGGCGTAACTCCTTCTCGATCTCTGCGTCTCCGGCTGCCTCTTCCCGAATGAATGCCGAGTTTCGTTTGTCGATTCCTTGAAGCATTCCATAGATCTTTTCTTGGACCAAGTCTCGTCCAGCTTGGTCTTCTTGGCTGAGGCCCGTGAGGAAGAAATGGCAGTTCACGATGTTAGATGGCGCATTATCTCGGCAGATTCGTAGCTCTTCTTGAAACCACTCCATCGTTTCTGCTGTTTTCAGTGCCCATACCACTTTCACTGATTTGGTGACAGCCTTGCCGTCGCGGATTTTCTTGATCAAGTCTAGCAGTTGACTGGCGATGGCCGTGATACCACTACCGCCGGCAAAGAAAATCACGTCGTCAAAGGCAGACATTTCACGTTGCATCCCGCCGTAAGGTCCTTCCAGAAGAGCTGAGTAGATCTTGTAAGGTCCATTTTCCAGGGCCTTCTTGAACACTTTGCGCGTGAAACCTTTGAATGGTCGAAAGACTAGGGTCAGATCACGATAGTCCTCTCCATACTCGGATGGGAAGTCATCGCTGCAGAGAGAAGCGATTGTGAACGGATGGTTTTCGAAGAATGCCATTCTCGGCATGCGAAGAAAGACATATTGGCCAGGCCGCCAGCGCATCTTTGTAGGCACGGTAACTTTCAGGGCACCCTGTGGGAGAATGGTTACGGCTGACTCTTCTCCAATCATGAAGGAGTCGGTGCGGAAGGGATTCGACCAGTTCAAGTAGAAAAGTCGGAGAATATAGGAAATGATCCAAATGACAACCGTGGCCCAGAGATAACCCCATGAAGAGAGGAAGTTCTTGGTATGCCAAAAAAGCATAGCCACAAAGATCCAAGACACTGGGATATGGATCACGATGAATAGCTCATACATTTTGTGACGGAGAAAGGGAAGCGAATGTACGCAAAGAACGATGAGAGGGACTATAGCCGCAATTCCGTTTCCGTAGACATACATCGGTAGCGTGACGAAATTGCGATAGTTCACCATCGCGCCATTCTCCCAGATGGGCGTTATATAGAATGGAACCATGTGCACCAGACTCAGGAACAGACAGATGTAGGCAGACCAGCGATGCAGTCCGTTCAGTCGTTCGGGACCGAGTCCGGTAAGCATGCTAATGAAGTTGGCCTTTGTGCTCAGTGCTACAATCCAAGGCACCATTGCAACAGCCAGCATACCGGCTCGGATTGCCAGGGGTGGTGATCCCAGAGCAATAGAGTAGTAGTAAAGAGGTTGCGGAAGAAAGCAGTAGAGAGTCACAAAAATCAAAGCAACTGACACAATTGCTGTCACAGCCAGAGAAGGGAAAACAAATTCGAGTTTCCCAATCCTGATCACTGGCATCGGTCGATAGAAGACCCATCGCATTAACGCGATGGCCTTTTTCAGCGGCACAATTCTCTGGACGATCCATTCGCGTCGTTTTGGTGGAACAGGTTGCGACGTCGAGGGAAAAAAGTGTGCGCTTGAGGCATCTGTTCCTGCACTAGGTAGCTCGTACTCTTCGACTATTTCTGATGCCGCAGGCTGTAGATGTGGCCGGTGCTCTTTGTGCTCCTTGTAGTAGGCGATTCGCATTTTATCGCCCCAGATATGGTAAAATCGGATGAGAGAAGTGGTGACCAGCAGCACTACCGCAAAGTAAACGAAGCCATATCCGTATTTTGCAGACTGAGACCATGGGTCCCTTTGCATTTCAACAAGCTCTTTGTGCGTCGTCGATGCGGTGACTGGGACTTGAACCCGCTTGACGAGGGAGGGGATTGAATTCCACATGATGGCGGATGAGAGTTAATCAACTAGGGGATGGATTGGTTGGTCGATGATAAATTCCCTCCTAAGACCTTTGGTATATTAATGAGCTTTCGTTGCTTGGGCATTTTCCTGCGTCGTCCATAAAGCATAGACATACTGTTTTGTTCTTTTCCTGTAGATCGCACTGCGATCCAAGAAATACACACCCTCCTGTATTTCAAACCCTCCTAGATCTCATGTCTTCGCCAGAAGCTCGAACAGGTGTCGGTTCCGGTGTCATCAAAGTTTGAAGCGAAGCAAAACAAAAAAGGAATCGCGAGGGGGGAGATCTGGGACTACATGTATTGGGGCACAGCGGTGGGGGTCGCACCAAGCACCCAATGTGCCTTCGCGCCATGACCAGCTGCAATGATTAGCCATTTCCTCCCATGGCGAGCCAATCGAAGGCCCGGCAGAGCTCAACGAGCAGCGCTTTGCCAGGGAGACCACGGTGGGCGGTGGTGCGGAGGAATCTCCCCAGTGAAATGTGATGGATTAGCGCCGTCGGGGCCGATCTGCACCAATCGAAGCAGCCAACGGGGTGACTGGGGGTGATCGGGCCGCATTAGCGTGGGTGGGGAAACTGAAGAACACTCCAGCCATGGCGAGTCAATGATGCTGGATTATTATTAGAAACCATTCACCTTGATGAGCTCGGGGAGTGTAGTAGAGTTCAGCCGGTACCTGGCTTCCCCGGCGCCTAGTCTTGATCGCTCGGGAGTATCTGCTCGTCATCTTCTCGAAGAGATCCGCAGAGAAGGTCTTTTTCAGCCGAGTTCCGTCATTGGCTAGGTGATGCTGGTAGTAGTGAGGTTCATGGTTGATGTGGCTCTCGGAGGGTGTGCCGCTGTGACGGCGTGACGATGTGACGAGGCAAGCAGGCAAGCAGGCAAACAGGAGGAACTACCAAGTCAGCCACAAATTATAAAATTAGATACAGTTGACTCGTGCGGAGTGCGGAGTTGCCATGCTGCTTAATATATACGGAATAATCGGTACGCTGTACTCTATACACTACTAGTACTAGTTACTCTTTTGTGTGGACATGATTGTTTTGATAGATCAACCCATGCATATTAATAGTAGTAGTACTATTATAGGGAACCTTTGGAACAACGGGAAAATATTATTGCCCAGATGCACATTGATCATGCCATATTTAGCTCGGGAAATTGGATTTATAATTCCCCTCCAAGGGTCAATATACCACGCTGTGTGGAACTCACTAACAGTTCACCTCGGTGTTGGAATATCCTAAGCCGCATCTTCAAAGTTTTCAACTTGTCGCACTAGTTACTAAGTACTGGTACTAGAACATGAAGGCCTCAGTATTTAAAGAAGCCTTGAATCTTGATAGAATGCTACCCTACTACTCCCTGCTAGGCATTTGGGTGTTACATCTACTTGTAATGTAAATGAACTCGTATAGTGGTATCATATTCACATCCTGCTAGTAATCTACCCATTAACATTGATCCAGTATCCGCTTCATCTCATCCCACCTCTGGGCCGAGATATCCACTAATTGCCTCAAATCCTCACTATCGACCGTCCACCCACCAAGCTTCTCCATCTTCACAATAACCGTCTTACCCTCCTCCTTATCAACAACAAGATAAACCCGTTCCTGTACTAGACCTTCCTCATATCCATCCGGATCCGCAAGAATCCATTTTTGCTGCTGCGAACCGTGCTTGCTATCTTGAACCTTTTGCTCCTCGGCATCAGGAATGACAACCGCCCGCCAACCTGCGGCAGCATCAGCTTCAAACACGCAGAATGAACTGGAAATAGGAAGACCGCGCAACGAGAGCTTCTGCGATTCTTTCACGTCGTCTGAGCAGAGAATACTTTCATTGTCAACGTCCCACCATGCTTTGGGTAGCTTTGTATCGCGTAGAGCGGCTAGGACAGAAGCCCAGGCTGCATCGAACGGGTTCCCGGCGAGGGAAATTAGCATGATGTCGATGTAAAGAACCCAGAATGCCTTGATCTCAGCGGGTTTGGTTTCTTCCTCGTTGGCCCCTGCGTCCAGGTCCATTTGTTCTTCATCATTGTGTTGCTGCGCTTCCTCGGGTCCCAAGTTCGGCGGTTGGTACCAGATGCGCAGGTCTTCGGCTTGAACGAGACGGCTAGTGTGCAATAGTGAAAGGATTTGGTGAGAGAGCGATTGGGCGAGGGCAGAGGGTGGTGCGCTGGGAATGAAGCCCGGTGCGCAGCCCGTGCTCAATGAAATGTTCGGGACGAGCAGGTTCAAGTCCTCGATGTGGGCGCGATCCTCTTCATCTTTGGCTTCGGTTTCCTTCTCAGACTCGCCGATGCGTCGGCGCTTATTTGCGTTTGTCGACTGCGATACACTCCACGAGGCGATGTCGTCGGTGTGAAGAATTTCGGCTCGAACACCACACACTGCGGTTGTGTCACCGAGACGGACCACAGCACTACCGTTGGTATGGGTCAAGGAGCCTGCATTGGCGGATGTGACTCGGAATTGAGAGGGAGCGCGGCCATTGGCACGGATTGAGGGCTGGTTGCTGGATGACGGAGGGGAGAGGTGGGCGAGAAGGTAGGCGTGGGGTTGGAGGCGCGCAAATTGGGATGGGGGTAGTGAGAGCGAGTTTGGAGCTGCAGGGGCAGCTGTTGAAGCGGAACTTGAAGCCATGGTCTGAGCTTCACGAGGCTGTATCTTACAACCGGAGATTGAAGATCGGGCAGGTTCTTCATCAAAAACGCCGATGTCCAGTCCGGCAGAATAATTTCACTATCGGAGGCGGTAGAGTGACAAAGTGACACCCGACACATCAGGCCGACAACGTACTAGTTACTAGTTAACTTACTAACTAGTGAGTGATAGGTGTATACAATTTACGATATGGCTAGTACGCCATTGAATAATTGGGTGACAATTACACAAGTTTACGGCATGAGACTATTCGTTTCATTCCAATTCCTTATGTAGTAGCTTTCAAGCACCAAGTTTAATGCTTTCGAGGCGTTCCTCGCCTTCTTTTGGTCGGCGGCTCCTCATCCCATTGATCAACCCTTGGAATGAAGACCATACTATCCTCGGACTTGGAGTTGTCATTTGAAGAGTCGTCCTTGGCAGCAGATTTGCGCGGGAAGGATATTGAAAACGACACCAGATCCAAGTTCTCTTCCTCCTTTTTCTTTCTTACTCTCCTTCTTCTTTTCTTTTGCCTTTCCCTCCTTTTCGGAATCGGAATCCTTGGAGTGTTCGTCCTCGGAAGCTTCGTCTTCCTTCTCTTTGGAATCTTCTCCCTTGGTATCTGAGACCTTGCTTGATGAAGATCCACCAGTCAGTGCTTTCAGATCCCCGGACAGAATTCGACTGAACAGACTCTTATGTTCAGGAGTCGATTCATCCTTCTCCGTCTTCGCATCCCCGGTAGATTCTCCATCTGTTTCCTTTTCTTCGTCCACTTCTTCCCCGTCAGAGAACTCCCACATATCACGAATTTCACCTCTGAAGAACGCAGTGCTCCACAGAGAAATCAGAACACCAGGGACCAGGTAGAGGAGAGCTGGTTGGGCATGATTGGAATACTGCATGGCTAGCAAAGTGGTGATCATTCCAAGTACGTATCCGATAACGCTGGCTTTGAAATACGGTTTGGGGAAAGATCGAGCATCATGATAGGGAGGTTGAAGTTCGGGCTCTCGCGGTGCGATCGTCGGTGCCCAAAAGCGTTCACCCCATGAACCAGTTGCGGCTTGGTATTGAGGTTTCACAATCGACTCGCTCTCTTCGGCTTGTGCCTTTTGAACACCCTTCTTGTGATAGTAGAGGAAAAGATCGAACCGCAAGGCCAATCCTACCATCATTCCAGGGATGACAATGTCTCCAAGTCCCAGCATTGCCAGGGCTTGAACAGCGGGGTCATCATTCGGTCCTGCCGGTCGAGGGAACAACAGCTTGATAGGGACATCCAACTTAGTAGCGACCGTAACCATCAAAGGTGTAAAAAAGACAAAGTATATGTCGTAGAAAAACAAGGATCCGAGAATCAGAGAACCAGTCCAAAACGTGGACGGAGACATGAATTGCAGAGCGCCGTAGCTGAAACTGAACCCAAGGAAATTGGTCAACCACCATGGCTTTGTAATGAATGCAAAGTACCCCACGGCACCCAGAGCAAAGATGCCACTGAACAGATCGAGAAGGCCAACAAGACCCTTGCCGTCAATGATCCCTCGAACAAGCAGGCGCATCTTGAGTCGCTGGTAGGAGACATTCCGAGTGGCCCAAAGTAAGGCCAGAGCCTTTCCTGGTAGTGGGATCATTCCCAAGACACCAGGAAGTGGGGAGTGTCGAACTTGATCATCGGCTTGGAAAACGCGCTTAGATTGGTTAACCTGCCAGAGCTTTCCACCAGAACGATAGTATCTCGGAAAGACGATTGATCGAAAGATCAACAGAATATCTTTCAAAAAGGCAACAGCAAAGAAGAGACCCATTTGGGAGAAGTAGAAGCTGAGAATCTTGTTCAAGATGGCGGGGTCTTCCAGCCATTTGATCACCAAGTACAAGCCACCAAGAGTGAGTCCCGCAGTCAAAGGAAACATCAAGGCATCCGATGGCTCCAGGCCTTCCATTTTTTGGACTGTGCCCTGATCTTCATCATCTTCATCGTCGGTGTCATCTTCTTTGTCTTCGTCTTTCTTGGGAGGTTTTGCGGCGGAGGAAGGTCGTGATAGAGAAGCGTGCGCGCCAATCCAGATGGGGAAAAGAGCGGAAACAACGAGGTGGCCATATGTGGGAAGAAGCGGTCTCATGCGGTCGAAATGATAGAGAGCTTGTCCCAGGACCTCCGCGACGGGGCTCACATCGTGAATGTCGGACATTGTACGTCACACGAGCGATAGCTCTATTCCCCTCGGGGCAAATTGACGGAGGGAGTCGAGTCGAGGTGAATGTGAGGAAATAAATGAATGATGGATCAACACATGACAAAGTGAAGATAGAAGAAGTGAAAGGAAAAGAGAAAGTGGAAGTGGAAGTGGAAGTGTTGTGAAGGACAAGTTGGACAAATTGGACAAAGACAAAAGTAAACTGCCGCTCCGCCCACCGTTTGGGTCAACCTTGGGGGAAGTCCCGCCTTTCTTTCTTTCTTCATCTTCAACCTCCCCCGCGACACTTCCACTCCGCAAAGAACAAAAGAACAAAGTCCTTCACATATTCACGTATTCGGATCCTCAAAAATGGCGACCGAAGTGGTGTTCGACACCTCCATGGTAAGCATTGCAATGCAGTTGGTATGACCATGCCAATGAATAGAGGCTGACTCCCTTACAGGGCTCCTTCACAGTTGAGCTTTACAATACCCACGCACCCAAGGTAAGCTCTAATCTCCCTCCTAGCGGTAATAATCCTGCTCTTTACTAATACTCAAAGCTTCTAGACTTGCAACAACTTCTCTACTCTCGCGCAGAGAGGTTACTACAACAACGTCGTCTTCCACCGCATCATCCCCAACTTCATGGTTCAGACTGGTGATCCTACCGGCACCGGTCGAGGAGGAAGCTCTATCTACGGCGAGAAATTCGAAGACGAGATTCGCGATGACTTGAAGCACACTGGTGCCGGTGTCCTCAGCATGGCGAATAGCGGGCCCAACACGAACGGCAGTCAATTCTTCGTCACCCTTGCGCCCACGCCGTGGCTGGATGGCAAGCACACTATCTTCGGTCGGGTTAAGAGCGGCATGCGAGTGATTCAACGGATGGGTCTGGTGAAGACCAATGGCGAGGATCGGCCAATGGACGAACTGAAGATCATTCGGGCGCGCGTGGTGGAGGGCAATGAGGAGTGAAGCAAGACGGAGCTATGCAACCCAATGGCTCGCATACATCGGCATATTCTCTACAGGGTGACCTTCTGGGCTATTGCCATCAACACATGCATTGCCTACCGATCGGGCTACAGAGAACTGGCTCGCGAGCAGGCACATCTGTCTCTTGTCTGTTGACGTACCCGCATTCGCATCCGCATCCACACCCAGCGCGACTCAAGCTGGGCAGATGGCTTTCTGCCCACCCTCAAGTGCATGAAGCATGAAGCATGCAGCGCGCAGCAGCATGACTCGGGGCTCACGCCCATGATTATAGCTACAAGGTCTATCAAACTAGAGCAGATGGACATACACCAACACCAGAATACATAGACGAATGAATGTATCACTACAAAACGAACCGCTTCTATCAAATGAAACCATCTAGAGCAGCAGATACAGAGTGAAATTCTCATCTGCCACCCCCACGACGTCGGCCAGTGAAGGCCTTCGTCATGACACCCGAGATTGTCATGAGAGAACAGTCGGGCTGTGCAAGCACTGGGGGTGGCGTGGAGAAAGAAAAAGGAAACCAGCAAAATTGAACTTTTAAAGTGGGCACCTCATAGGCTGCTGAGTAAGCAGATCACGTGTATTGTATAGATCGAGTATGATTATACGGAGTATGCGTGGATTCGATTATTTTTGAGACAAGATGTGCTTTGAGACAATTTATTATTTGTGACATGTTAAGATAAAGCGCCCCAGATAGGTATCATTATTTCATAGCAAGTTCATTAAATATTCCGATCCAGCGGATCCCTAAGTAAAACATAATATTAAGAGATTCCAGCAATGCTTTCTGCGGTTGGATATTGCGCAGCCATCTCGCTCGAGTCAAAGTTTTCGCAAAATGAAGATAATATCTCGTCAAAGTCATCCATGCGAGTCAAGGAATTCCCATCGGCATCCGATGTTGAAACAATGTTGATGGGAACAGTATCCTCCTTCGGTTTCATGCTCATGTTCATCGCAAGCCCGTTCTTGACTTCTAAGGTTCGGAATTTCCAGACTTCCTTGTATCTTCATATCTGCTGTATTAGCTATTTTGTCTTTCGAAGAAAGCTTTCGGGGGGATGAAAAAAAAAACATACACAACGCGTTTCCATGTGTCGATGGAATTCTGAGATTGATCAAAAGACCAATCAAACGTTTCCTTGACTACTGGCTCATCAGCCGGGTCATGGTATAATTTCAGGTATGGGTGTGAGAGTGCGTCTCTGGCGTTGATCCTCTCGTTCACGTCAAACACTAGCATTCTTTCGAGTAGATCATTTGCTGTTGATATTAGTTTCACGTCTCTGTCTTCTTTCCGGGAAAGGGTTATCATACCTTGTTTGTCAAAGCTGGGAAAAGCATCTGCGAAGTCCATCCGCTGACACTTTGGCAAACAATCAACAAATCCTCTTGTCTATTAATTCGTTAGCTCTCATTTCATAGTCTGATATCTCCCATGGCATCAATATTCAAACTTACATTGGAGTTCGTAATCATATCCATGATCCACACGGGCGGACTGCCTAAAAGCTTGACAATTTGACTGAACTGATCGGCATGGCTACTAGCGGGGAAAAGCGGCCTTCCTTGCAGCATTTCAGCGAAAACGCAAGCTGAGCTCCAGATGTCTACCTTGGCTGAGTATTTTTGCCAGGTGAGCATGATCTCGGGCGCTCGGTAAAGTCTGGTCACAACATAGCCAGTCATCTGGGGGCCCTGTAATCGTGCATGTTCAAAACCACTTATTTTCAAGTCGCAGTTATCATTAACCAAAATGCTGCATGGTTTGAGATCACGATGTATGATGCCTGCCGAGTGGACATATTTCAGTCCTCGCTGGTTTCATTAGCATCTTGGGATCTTGAGTAGTTCGTTGGTGGTAAGGTGTTCCTACCAGTGTTTGGTACAAGAAATATTTTGCAAAGGCATCTTCCATTGGGCCTCGGTCAATAAGCCTTTGTAAGTTTGTCCACATGAGTTCTGTGACGATATACCTACGAAAGTCAGAGATAAACGAAGTAAATAAGGCATGATTCTGAACATACAAGTCCTCGCTGGGAGATATGAAAAGATCATTCAAACCAACAATCTGTTTTGGAAGTTAGTTGTAATTCTGGCGGTTTAAAGAATTCCACATTGGGTCCGAACATTTTCATGTCGCAGATAGCGAAGTAACTTAATTTCACGAAGCGCCCGCTTTGCAAGGGTAGATGAACCAAAGGGCTTTGTCACTTTCCTCACAGCGACCACACCATGCAGGATTTGATCCTCTGCGGAGCTAAAGGCGGCCATGTTAATCAATCTTTATTTTTTTTTTCTCTCTTTCGAATCAAAAAGAGTTATCACACTGGACATACCATATAAGACCAGCGGCATCCAGTTCAACCGCCTGCGGTTCTGTATACCTGCGACCGTGTTAATGGTCTGGGCTTTGGCATCAAAAAGTAACCAATACGCGTCGAATTTACCTGGACGTGATTTCAAATGTTACACCCATCACCTGGGAGGTGTTGAAATCGGCCATTTTTGAAAGGAGAGGCACTTTCAAGGGCGAAATAGAAACTATAAACCCCGACTTGAAGGTTCGAAAATTCAGAGTAAGGGACGATGTGTAAAAATAGTTTGGAGCAGCGAGAATCAGAGAGTAAAATAGTAAAGAACCCAAGGAACCCAGCAGTAAAGAAGAAACAGGGAGAGCAGAAAGAGAGGGGGGGGGGGCGGTGGCTTTAGGCAGGTTGCAGCAGAGCCCAGACCGCGGACCGCTGGAACAGCTGGAACAGTTTGGACTCAAAGCAGCCCCATTGTTTGCCCTAGACCCTAAATATCCCGGTCCGATGGACTGGAATGAGAACCAGCTAATAAGCACCCACCTCAGCCGTTCATCGACTGTACGTTAAATAGGAAGATAAAGCCCCCCTGCTTGGAATCTCTGGCCACACGAATCCTACTGCATACGCATCCAGCTTGAAAAACCAGTCTGCCCAGGGTCGCGTCTCATGCGTTTTACTAACAATTGGTAAGGCCTACTTTTACCTGCCGAATCACTTGGATTTGCTATTGAGATTTTTTATTATGCCTTATACACTTCTTGAGGCAAAGGCTCTCTACAAAACATCATCTGCATGGTCGGTTTGGACTGGTTTTCAGCTGCCGCCACCATCTCTTCGCATTTTTCTGGTACGGTTAACTTATCCAGGGTTAGCAAGTAGCAGCGTAACCGAGTTCCGGAACGCCACGTTCTGGTCAATTTGCAGCCACTTCGCCATATTGATTGCAAAAAGCTACATATGAAGTCAGGCCATATGATCGGCATATCGCAGAGGTACGAGTACACTAGCTCATGATCCTTGTGGATCAAAGACCTTCTGTGGCTATGCAAGATTTCACAGCAAATAGGAATTCCTTACGGGTTACCGACTAGCGAGTACTGTACATATGTACTGTACATAGCTACCAGCATAGATCTCAACCAACGACGATGCGTTTGTCGATATTTCGAAAGTAGGATTGGCAATATTTCTGCGATGTTCTATTAGGCTGTTGGGTATTCTTAGATCGCTATGCGCATGCTGATTGGCGGAATAGCGTGCCGGACCGGTAGAAGGTCCCTCCAAAAACGCCGACGTGGAGACGTGGAGATCGCCGATGCAAGAAGGCATGGCATCTCCACGGGTTTCGTCATGTTCCTTGGTTCTTGCCCCTTCTCTCCCTTCCCATGGGTCGCTGGGCAATCGACCCCCTTGACATGCCATTATTATATGTTGAGTTGATCCCGCGAATCACCTTTGTTGATTTATTGATCTTCCTTGCCACTTATACACTCCAAAAATTCTTCCCCACGAAGCTCCTAGGCACCGAAGTATATGGTATAGAGAACAGAAAGTACAATCAAATCTCTTTCCTCAGCCACGGGGGTCCGTGGCTGGAACGTCTCCCGTGGATTTGCAGGTTTTGAGGTTCCATTAATGATATCAGTGCGATCTACCCCCAATACGAGACTTCGCGCTTACTTTCTCCGGATTCTTCCACATATTTTCCTTCAAGATCGGATCTGCCCCTCTCGTCTAGCCCTTCCTCCTCGTCCCTCTTTAAAAATCTCTGTTCTATGTATTTCTTGTTCACGCTAATCAAATCGCCCCATGGGATCGACGATTCATTTTTTCTCTCTAAATACCATCATCTTTCGACACATCTCATCCTCTCTACAAATTAGCTCCCTCTTATCTTGGCATGGACCAGGTATAGTGGAGCTCCCTTCAACAATAAAATCTACATAGTTGACCGATCGCATCCCGGCGCTCCTCGACATGGAAGAAAAACCTCCCCCGCCTGCGGTGATGGAGGCGGATCACAGCGCAGGCCGTCGCGCCCGAGAGGTGTATCGATACTTCCGACCAGAGCGCCTAGCAACAATCTCCGAGAATGCTTCATTATCCAGCGGCACTTCGTCCCTGCGAGGTCCAGTATCTCGCGATGATCAATCCATCCATCAAAGCCGTGACCTGTCAGTGTCAACGCAGCCAAGCACCACGCAAAGCTCGCAAAAATCAATGGCTACGTTGGGACCTTTGCCCGACTCTATGGTATTGGGAGAATCGAGTGCGACATTAGATTCCTTTGCGCAATTGGCTGCGTTGCGTTTGAATGTAGACCGGGTGTTCATCAGGTGAGAAGGAAATGTGAGCTCATATCTTGGCGATCTAGACTGACTGGTTTCGTTTTGAAGTGTATCCAATCGAGATTCGCAATTCATTATTGCCCAAGCCGCACAAAATATGAAAGGCGATGTCAAATACGATTTCCTTGGTGACGGCGTGTATACTGGTTGCTCGACACTCGATGCCAGCTCTTGGAATATGTGCCAAGTGAGTATTTGCCTATCGTTATTCGCGCCGCTGTGCGTTTTCGTCAAAAATAGCTTCTAACTACCATTAGGATACCATTGCACTAGCTCCATCTAATCGACTAACAGGAGAATACAACTTCCTGGTATCAAACGATCTCAGCCAAGATGACCGCTACAGAACTCTCCCTTTTGTCAAAGAGGAGCCAGGCTTTCGATTTTATGCCGGAACACCACTCACGACTGAAAGCAACATCAATATGGGCTGCTTGTTTGTCCTGGATACCAAACCTCATGATGAATTCACCTGTCTTGAGAAAGAGACCATGGGACACATGGGAATGCTCATTATGGACTTTCTCAAGGTCAGCCGTCAGGCGTCTGAAGGTCGCCGAGCTTCCCGCTTGTCTCATGGTTTAAGTTGCTTCGTCGAGGGGCATTCAAGTATCGCGAGTAACGAACAAGACTCCACCGTGGAAAATAACTATCAAGAACCTGGCAGATCACCCGAAACTAGCCCCAGTCGCATCTCGAAAGACCGACTGGATGTTCGCAGTCTCTCGTCTGGAAGGTCTAGATCTCGCGACAGTAGCGCATGCTCCTTTGACTCTACCTCTGAACTAACGGATGAGAAATCTATTCCATCCAGCTTCGATTCAAACTATGGCCATAACTGGCCCCAGCCCAAGGGAAAAGACGACGGGGAGACTCATCGAGGGAATTCGTGGACATTCCGACGGGCGGCCAACCTAATTCGTGAAAGCCTCGAACTGAATACAAATGACGGTGTTGTTTTTGTTGAAGCTGGCAACGATTTAGTGCACAATATTGGGTCTGACAGCGAGCTATCGAACTCAGTGGACAACAGCAAGGCCGTTACTGTTCTGGGTTTATCCACAGAAGACGGTGGCATGGAAAGGAAAACGCCTGTATCCCGCTCGATTACAAACCTCGACGAGGACTTCTTGCGTCGACTGCTTAATCGATATAGCAGAGGAAATATATGGTCCTTTCATAGGGATGGCCTTTTATCCAGCTCCGATAGTGAGGAATCAGAAGAATCGTCTGAGCCTCGTGGGAGGAAGAATCCATTTTCAAAACGAATGAAGGCGCAAAAGAGAAAAACCACAGAGAATTCGATTCTCAACAAGTGCTTCCCTGGAGCAACCCAGATTCTTTTCGTGCCCTTGTGGAATCCGGCCCATTCGCAATGGTTCGGCGGCTTCTTCTGTTGGAACACGATCGAAAGCAATGTTTTCAATCCATCAGTGGAGCTCAGCTCATTATTGGGGTTTGGTACTTCAATCATGTCAGAATGCAATCGGGTCGATTCACTTATAGCTGACCGACAAAAGGGTGACTTCTTGGGCAGCATCTCGTAAGTTTATCTCTATGAATAAAATCTTACAACCCCTAATCATCATCTACAGTCATGAGCTTCGCAGCCCTCTTCACGGTGTACTAGCAGCAGCAGAGATGATGCAAAACACAGAACTAACGCCATACCAAAGCTCAATGATGGAAACCATCGATGCTTGTGGCCGAACTCTGCTAGACACGATGAACCAAGTTTTGGATTATAGCAAGATCGTGTCCCTTGAGAAACAGCTACGGCATTTAAAAAAGCGAGGGGACCAGTCGCCCAATCTCCAGATGAAACATCGCTCTGCGGCTCATCTGGACGTATACACAGCGACCGACGTGTCTGCTCTAGCTGAAGAGGTGGTGGAAGGTGTGAGTCTTGGTCATCAGTATAGCCAGCGACCTCCATCTCCTGGTTATGCCTCAATGACTTCAGCCCCAGATGCTGTTCCTGAACCACACGTTGTCGTGGATCTGGATATCGCGCATCACAATTGGGTATATAACACTGCACCCGGAGCCCTTCGACGAATCATCATGAATATCTTCAGCAACGCAATGAAATACACCTCCGAGGGCCACGTTTCGGTGCGCCTTGAGGTAAAGGAAACTTCCGAAAACTGGCATCAGCAGACGCAAATAGCAGATCTGGTAACATTGACAGTATCCGACACTGGGAAGGGCATTTCTGACGACTTCCTCCGTGGGCGATTATTTGTACCATTCGCGCAGGAGGATACGCTAGCAAGTGGATCCGGTCTTGGTCTTTCCATTGTTCGCAGTCTACTCAAATCACTGGACGGAAATATCAATGTGCAAACCCAAGTTGGCAAAGGAACTACTGTCAAAGTGACCGTGCCACTCTATCGTTCAGAGCCGGATGATTGTGTTAATGATATTCCCTCCATGTCGCAATTCATGCGGCGGCAAGAGATGACGACTGATCTGAGTTATATTCGAAGAGACTTTCCTGGACGCAAGGTTGCCATTTGGGGGTTGCAGCGTGACAGCGTTTCGAAGCACCCATTCTGGTCAACTATCTCCCATTATCTAACCGATTGGTTCGGCCTGGAATTGGTTTCACCATCATCAGAGGCGACCATTGATATACTCCTGGCCGAGGAAATTCCTTCGCAGTCCGAGATTAAGGAAAAACTCACTGGCAAGCCGTCATTCTTGCTAATAGATACTAAGGGGGTTGGGTTCGATTCGATGAACGTCAATTCGCTTCCGGCCGCCAAATTTTTGAATATGATTCACCCTCCCTGTGGACCACATAAGCTTGGGAGACTTATTCGGAAATGCCTAGAGCAGCCATTTTCGCTTCCTTCTATCTCTGATCTCTACATTGTGCCTGACACCCCGAAGCCACCAATCAACGAACAACTCGATTCAAACCCTGGCAGTACTTCGGGCGCTATCTGTACCACGCCGACCAAACCACCCCAAAATTTCAACAAGAAACACGAAGGCCGCATTCTTGTCGTCGAAGACAATAAGATTAATCTCAACTTGATGCTCACATTCCTGAAGAAACGAAACATACCCACTCTGGACTCGGCTGAAAATGGTCAACTGGCCGTTGCCGCCGTGCAAGAAAAGTCCCAAGGCTATGATATCATATTCATGGGTAAGAAATCCGTCGAAAAATTCTTGTTAGAGGAACCATGAACAATGAGCTAATGATCTTCTGAATAGACATATCGATGCCGGTCATGGACGGATTCGAAGCAACCCGGAATATCCGTGCAATCGAGAAAGAGCGCAATACCGGTGAAAACCCGGCCATCATCATTGCTCTTACTGGTTTGAGCAGTCATAAAGCTGAATCTGAGGCCATTGGGTCTGGAATCGATTTGTTTTTGACAAAACCGGTCGCATTCAAGCAAGTCACAAAAATTCTGAATGAGTGGGAAGAGACAGGCTCAGTGGAGCTGATCCAGGCCGCTCAACATGAGGTTTCTGCATAACTCTTTCATGAATATATCATGATATGATGATACCCTAGCATTTGTAAATATATAGATTCAGATACCCATCAAGTTAATTGCACGTCCATTACATGATCATCTACAAAATTGGTCTGTGCCGTTGTAGTGTACAAGTTCTAGTAGATGTTGGACCACCTACTACTGCACTGTCACTCACATCCAATTTAAGATACTAGTTATTTTTAATAAAATTTAATTTTAATTAATAATATATCATCATCGTCAATCAATTACTAGAAACACCCCAAACATAAAATCACCCAATTTCCTCGTTGTGTAGTTACTCCACTATAGAACCGCGCTTGTCCTCACCGCCTTCCCGCACAAAATAGCTCCGCCTCGATTTTTCCTCTTTTCTTTCTTTTCTCCCTTCTCCTCTCAGTTCCGACAGCTCCCTTCTTCTCCGGAACTCAGGGATGCTCGTTTGGGCTTGAAGTTTCTCTGTCTGATGCCATGAGATTCGCAGTGTTCTCTGCTTAACCTCCCAAACTCACCTGGTACAGCTCAAACCTCAATCGTGACATTGAACACCATGGAGTCTCTCGCCGACACGACGTGGGATGTCATCATTGCAGGTACTGGGCTGTCCCAGTCTCTGCTGGCATTGTGAGTATTCTATACTCTTCCAAAGAGGTCCATCAAGTTTTCAGTCACTGACTTCCCTTCCAGGGCACTCTCAAGATCCGGCAAGAAGGTTCTTCACTTGGACCAAAACCCACACTATGGAGGACCAGATGCGGCCTTCAGTCTAGAGGAAGCTCAGGAATGGGTGACAAGTGTCAACCAACGTGGGTAGCTGCCGAATGTGCCCTGCGTCTCGGCCTATCGCTGATTTCTGTCCTCTGATAGATCCTGGCCGTTCTCCGTTTGAAGATGCCAAGATATTCACATACCAACATCCCCCGGAGTCTCCGCGCTCGCCTCCCTCGCAGAATGACTCTGAGGGAAGTGAGCGTATGCCAGGCACCCCAGATATCCGTCCCAAACTGGCCGCCAGTCGAGCCTATACACTTTCCCTATCCCCCTACTTCCTCTACACCCGCTCGGCACTAATCTCTATCCTAATCTCTTCCAAGGTCTACCGTCAGCTCGAATTCGTCGCGTTGGGGAGCTGGTGGATTCACACTTGCACACCGGCCCCCGAGTCGGAGGAGCTCGGCGCCACTAATATATTTCACCGCGTGCCGGGAAATCGGGAAGATGTCTTCGCCGATACCCACATCAGTATGAAGTCTAAGAGGACGTTGATGCGGTTCTTGCGACACATCAGCAAATCCGAAGACGAAAATGGGGGCGACACTGCTGAGGAGTTGTCAGCACCATTTGGCGAATACCTGTCTACCAAGTTCAGTGTTCCAGGTGATTTGCTTCACGCTCTTCACTCGCTCTCGCTGTCTCAGCAGTCTACGCAAGATACTCCCGCGGAATACGCTGTTCCCAGAGTTCAGCGACACCTGTCGTCCATCGGATCCATGGGACCTGGATTTGGCGGCGTTGTTTCGAAATACGGTGGTGCGTCTGAGATTCTTCAGGTTGCCTGTCGTGCATGCGCTGTAGGCGGAGGTGCAGTCGCTCTTGCTATTGGGATTCAGTCCCTGAAAGATATTGAAACGACAACAGAAAAAGAAGAATATCCGGTCCAGTTGGAGCTCACCAGCGGAGAGTCAGTCCGAAGCAAGTTCGTGATTGGCTCCCATTGGGATCTCCCTGGCCAAGAGCAATCTCCACCCACTTCTCAAGTGGCCCGTTCGATTACTGTTGTCTCCTCGAGCTTCATGTCACTGTTTCCCATTACCACCGAGGGTGCTCCTCTTCCCGCCAGCACCGTTCTTATGTTCCCTGGCGACACTCTTAGCCACCCACAGTCACCCCCGGTGTACCTCCAGATCCACTCGAGTGACACCGGTGACTGTCCCCGACAGCAGAGTAAGTTCACCTTGTTCTTTCGCGATTCCTCAACCCACACTCCCATATTCAGCTCGTATGATGAATATCTTTTCTTTATCTACATTGTCTGTAACTACATTGATGACACCATACTATCATCTACTGATCACGAGCACAACAATCATCTTGTTATTTGATTTGATTTGATTTGGGTTCATATGGCTAACTGAATCCATTAGGTGTTATTTACGGCAGTGTCGCCCTTCCTGGGTCAGAAGGTCACACTCTCCTTGAGTGTGCTGTCGACCGGCTTCTCCACGCCGAAGGTCCTCAAGCCATGGTACTTTGGTCCATGAGATACACTCAGTCGGGCCGACTCCGTAATGACGGGTCTTCGGCTACCATTCACAAGCACTCGCCCCATGTCTTTAGCTTCCCGTCGTCCAGTCTTGACCTGACCTGGGAGGATGAGGTCGTTGACATGGTCAAGCAGGCTTGGACTAAGATCGTAGGAGATGAGGTGGACCATGATGACTTTATGATATTTGATGATCGCGAAGGCACCTCTGACGATTAACTCTAGCAAAGCTCCGTTACCATAGTAGTGGTTTGTACAGACATGATACCTGAATATGATAATACTCAATTTGATGATCTTCAGTTCAAACTTTCCCCTTGACCTCCTCCGTGCAACCTATCTGGTACACCAGCGACTGGCCGGTCGACGCCACCATGAAGTGCATAATGCCAGTAAAAACTCATTTGTTTCCCCTCATTTTTTTCTCAATCCAGTCTAGTTTGAGTAGTAGTAATACTTACTAGTAGTATACCTTGCATGTGCATCTGCACGTGGAAGCGGAGGTGATTATTCATACAAGACCAAGCTCGGTCCGGTCGGATGGAAGGCAAATGTACATTGCTTGCCTCGGTGATGCTGGGGTGGGATCTATTGTGAACCCAAAATGAATAACTTAATATAACCAATATGTGCGATATTATACACCGGGTGTATCCCGGGTACATCCATCTTGAGGTACTACTAGTACTAGTAGTAAGCTCCTTCCATCTAATCTAGTTATCAAAGCAACAGCAACCTCACAACCTCTTCAACCGCAACCCCAATACTCCCCTCATCGACATGGGTTTTAGTACCGCAGAAGAATTTGATCAAGCAAGCTTTTCAATCATTCCTAAATAACCAAAAGCCTCCAGCTAACCCAGCCAGGCCTACAAAAGCGTGCACGATGCATTTGCAATCGGAACAACGAAGGACAAAGGCTGGAGACGACAGCAGCTCAAGCGTGCATGGTGGATGATCGAAGACAACAAAGACCAGATTTCCAATGCTCTATTCGTCGATCTCCATCGACATCGACAAGAAAGCTTCCTCTCTGACATCGCCATGGTACAAACTGATATCCTGCGAACCCTCGACCAAATCGACGAATGGACCAAAGACGAAAAGCCAACAAGTCGAGATCTGGTCAATTTCATGGGTGGTACCGTCATTCGCAAAGAGCCAAAAGGTGTAGCACTCATCATCGGTGCCTGGAACTTCCCCATCCTGCTACTTCTCCAACCGATGGTCGCCGCCCTAGCTGCGGGTTGTGCTGTGATACTCAAACCATCAGATATGGCACCTGCCACGCAGGATCTACTGATGGAGATTATCCCAAAGTTCCTGGATAAGTCCGCCATTCGGTGCATTAGTGCTGGTCCGCAGGAAATGCAGTACATACTAGAGCAGCGATATGACCACATCTTCTACACGGGCTCTTCTAACGTGGGGAAGATCGTACATGCTGCAGCTGCGAAACACCTTACACCAACTACACTAGAGTTGGGTGGTCTTGCGCCGGCAATTGTTACAGCATCTGCCAATATCGAATTATCGGCAAAGCATATCGCCGCTACCAAATTTCAAAATGCTGGACAGGTATGAATTGAATGAAAATGCTCCCAGGCCTCGTGAGCATGTACCTGACCTGATTATTTATAGATCTGCCTGAATGTAAACCACGTTCTCGTCGATCCCTCTGTCAAAGAAGCCTTGATAACTAGCTTGATCAAGCATTTCAGTACCTTCATGGGTAGCAAAGCTCAACCAGAATACTACACCCATATAATCAACGCACGAAATTATGACCGCCTCGACAATCTTCTCGAAAATACAAGTGGCCAAATAATCTACGGAGGAACCCGTAACCGCGAAACCCGCTTCTTCGCCCCGACAATAGTCACAAACCTCCAACCCACTGACCCTCTATTAACAACTGAACTATTCGGTCCAATCCTCCCAATCCTAGACCTGGATCTGGACAACGCCCTCGCATTCACAAGAGCAACGGGTAATCCACTCGCAATCTACGGCTTCACAGAAGACGAATCGGAAAAAGATCGCATCCTTTCCGAAACCCAGTCTGGCGGCGTGACATTCAACGACTGCACCCTGCACGTCATTGCCAAGGATGCGCCCTTCGGTGGAATAGGAGGGAGTGGACACGGATACTATCACGGTCCGCACGGTATTCGGGAATTCTCGTATCTGAGAACGTATACGAATGCCTTCCCTGCTTGGATGGAGGGTGTGATGGGTGCAAGATATCCGCCTTATTCGAATAAGAAGTTAGAGAAACTTGTCCCTGCCGTCAATCCTGGATTCGATCGGGAGGGGAATGATGTTTCTCGTGGTAATTGGAGAAAATGGGGGTTTATGCTAGGTGTAGGGCTTTCAATTGGGATTGGACTGAGTGATCAGGGCCGGGCATTTGTTTTGGGGCTTCTGGAAAATATGCTCCAGGCTCTATAATTATTGGTTTATTTCTTAAACATGACGTGGGCAATCAGGAAGTTAAATTGTACACTCTACTCCTTAATTCTGGAAGAGCATTGCGTTTCAGTAGCAGAAAGTACGTAGGTTATAGTTAGTAGATGACGACTTCCTTTTTGGTCACTACTGAAAACATGTGCCTGGTCTTCTCAATATTTCAATTGTAATATCCTCTCAAATCGTGTGTTTCCCTTTATTTCACTCCATCCTATTCATTTGGCTTTTTTAGTACGACTACTGTCGTCAGGTGATTTTATGTTGATCATGAGTCCCCAGCCCAACCTGACAATACAATATTAGAGGAATGTAACTAATTTCATGAAATTTAAAGCTACAGTCTTGGATAGAGAATTTGGGCACATTGCTTATCTTGGTTCAAGTTCTTTTTCCCCGCGAGTATCTTGGAAATTCTATTGTCGAGTATCACCAGTATCAACTAGAAATATACATATCCACGTGCACACCTGGGCAACTTGAAACCTTCAAGTTGGAAGGGCCAGGGTTTGTTTCGACAGTGACTACGGGAGTACCCCGTACTGCTTATACAAACCATACTCCCCACCAAACCTTCCCAACCCAACCCAACCCACTACCAACTTTGGTGGGACAAAAGATAAAAGCTTCATTTCCGTGGCAGGGTCAGCACCAATGACGATCGCCGGACCTATGCATGCCCGGCCCGTTGTGGGACTGACGAACCCTGATGGTTCCTTGACATTTCAAAATGGGGCGGAGGGTGTTTCATCAACTGCACAGTGGACTCGTACATCTGGGCGAGTCGCTGATTTAGGGTTCTTTTCCAGCTTCATCTATCCTGGTCCGTACCATCTATGTACACATGTCCTCTACTTCGTACGGAGTATATTGTTTATTATTATTCGGGTCTCGTACACGAACCACGAGTACGTAGACAAACAGGCACCTACATATTGCATAGTACTAAGTGGGGCGGGCACTGCAGCAGGTTAGAGGCTGAATGGGGCACATCGATAGAAGTGGCCAATGGACGAGCGGGCATGCGCGATTGGGGAGTCGAATGGCGACGAATGGCATCATCTATTGGACCATTTCTATTTGCCAGCTGCCATTTGCCGCCCAGTCCATAGCCATAGCCCATAGCCCCCTAGTCCAGTTAGCAGTGCCGACAGGAACGGAGGACGCCACAGTATATTCAGCCGAGCATCGCATCTGGCGACTACACACAATCTACTTTACTACCAGATATCCGGATAAAAACGAGATCTGCTGAATCCGAACAGACTCGACCAGGTCCATATGGAACCAGACTCGGGTCCGACTCAGCCCTGGAATGTTCCATGGACAATACTCGTACCGAAGGGGACTGATGATCAGGGGTCGGGCTCCACTTGGCTGTGGACTTTTTCAGGGTCTGACCGAGTCTTCACCGTTTCGAGCGGGTAGTCGCTGCTAAGCCCCTTAATTCCCTTTGTTTTTGTCTTTTTCTTTTTTTCTCTCCCGCCGCCTTTTCTTGGAGTGACAGCATCGCCAAGGCCCCGGCGCGTCGAGCTTAAACCCTCGCGCACCGTGCAGCGGGTGGCCCGAGATGTTGTGCAAGAAGTGGTTAACAAGGGTGTACTCCGTAGTATGAGTACTCGTACTTAGAACTCCCAGACAGTGTAGTAATTCTATGACTACAGAGACAGCCACTGCCAAGTTCATCTATTCCTTGGCCGCTTGGCCACTCCGAGCACGAGTATGTACAAGTCGGTTTTACTAGTAACCCCCCCCATCGTGCGCTCGTTGTTAAGGTTAAACGTCGCTTAGATGACTCTAGCATCGAAAGGGGACTAGTTCTGGGCCTTCACGAAGCTCCAGTCCATTTAATCATTTGATATGATCTGTGTGATGAAGGATCTAGACTGTGAAACAGTGCCGCCACCGGGTTTAATATATATAGAACATCACGCCGTGGATGACGCAGCTGTCTCAACCCAAGAGAACCTCAAGGCTTGGGCGGGCCTCATCTCATGGCCTGAGCCCAGGGAGGGAAATGAAATGGTTCTTGTGTCGATCGCGGCCCACTGTGAGTCGAGCACGGCTGAGGGCTCGCCACTGAGATCTCCGGTCCGAAGAGCCTTCCTTGACCCTGACCCTGAAAAAAAAGTGAAAGTGAAAAGTGAAAGTGGATGAAGGGTAAAGGGGAGATGGGCAAATGGACAAATGATATTAGGGCAAATTCTGCGGATAAGCTTTCAGGGTCTCTCACAAACGAGAGACTCTCAGCTGTCCGTACAGGTGTGTTCCACTGAGTTGAGTCGAGTCCAACTGGAGGGTGTAGGAGGACACGCGTCAGTGGGGGGGCGTTGGCCAGGGTGGCCCTTCTGGTGGATGCTCAGTGGCCGGGGCGGTTGGACGCCAGGGTGATCGACTTCAGATCATTTCCTGTAATTCTGAATCTTGTCCGGTAAGGTTAGTACGGTATATAATACAGTGAGATCAGTCTCGATCTATCCAGACGTACGGAGTAAGGGTCTAAGTATACACATCTATGTACTACTGTACTACTAGTGCTAGTAGTAGTATAGTTAGTAGTTAACACCTACAAGTACTAGTACTAATAAGCCACAGTGCTCCCTTCTGATCTATAATGCTAATCAAGTTCAAGTTAGTACTAGTAGTATCTTGTCCTACTACAATGAGCCTACATGACGTATATACACTACCATGGGTGCCGTTGGGATGTCCGCGCATCATGATGATGGATTTCCCTGAACTCCGGAACTGATCACCAGGCTGATGTACTCTGTACTCGTACAGTAGTAGACGATCTCTGGGATCGTCCGATCTCCGGACGGTTTCCCGGCGGCCACCGTACTCATAGATCTGCCTGGGGGGAATCCAAGAGGAAGTATGGAGTATCCTTATACTCCGTAGGTACTTGGTGGAAGCAGGGACTCTGTACAGAGTACTGCCACTGCACTTTTAAGTGGTCAGTACGGAGTACTCCCTGATCTGATAGATACCCGATCATCGGAGAAAAAGTACGAAGTAAAAGGAGGAGGCCGATCCCTGCAGCATTCCAGACGGAGAATAACATCACTGTGTATACTTGTTGTACTATAGTATAGTATAGTAGTAGAGTATGGTAACAATAGTATGCTTAGGTGGTAGTCTACTAGTATTCTATTAATTATACAGGAATACTATACTCTGTAGAATACTATAATATCCTGACTATACTGATACTGAACTAAGTATAGTACACTCCCTCCTCTGCTGACTGTATTCTTACCGTACCTTGTAATGGTAATCGCGTGACCGGCCCTCCACTTTCCCCCCCAAACTCCCCCCCGTATCTCTCGTCTTCTCTTCTCTCTACTCAACTTGTTCCTGTCTCTCTCCCTTTTTTTTCCCTTCCTCAACCTCCTCCTCCCCTCCCCTCCCCTCCCCCAACTCTACAATATCGCCTTCCGCTCTGGACTCGCCCCGTCCAGCCGCGTTGATTTCTCGACTCGGCTCTTCTTTTTCTCTATATCCTCTGGTGTCGCAGGTCCCGACGCTACCAGCCTCTCGTTGATCTCCGTTTCCGGCATTTAATCTGCCAGCCATTCTTTTTAAAACAAAAACCCACACACTACTTCGGTACATTCTTTTCGGTTCGGGATCGCTCTGCTCGGTAGCTTTTTTTGTCCGCTACGTGAAATTATTTTCCAATTCCTTCGGCCACATTGGACACCATCGAACCGACTTTTTTTCTCCCTCCCCGATATCCAACACGAATTCCGAAGGGGGCGTGCTGAATTGCCACCTACCCTTCTCCCCTCAAACATCCCGAGTACATGTTTGAAAAGTCCTCGCCAAAGACCGTCAAGATGCCTCTCTTCCGGCTGAAGACGGTGTTCCCGTTGATCGCTTTGGTGTCGATCGGTGTGTTTTTCTGGTGTATGGAGCGTTATGATCGAACCGCCTTCATTCGGTTTAAGAACCCCATAGATCGCGTCAATATGGGCTCAAGCAACACTCCCAACTTAGATCCTTCCAGCCAAGCGACTCTCGAGACCGCGAGCAACACCTGCGAGGTCGACCCCAAGCTGGCCGCTCCTCTCCCTTTCTCCGAATGGCTTCCTCGCAAGAACTACACTCGCGCTTACTTCCGTCCTCGTCTTGTGAACCCCGATACTGAATTCCACACTCTCGAGGAGATCGTGAAACCCGTTCTTCCCCCGATGGTCGCCATGGAGCGCGGCATGGTCGTTTCCCCCGACAACAAGGAGGAGAACTTTATCTGTCCTGAAATCATCGACATTGATGTTGCCGCCGATGACAGCGTCGAGGAAACCTCCAAGCTTCTCTTCGGTCTGGCTACTACCGTGGACCGCCTCGATCGTCTGCTCCCTTCCCTGCTCTACACCTATGGTAACACCAAGGCTGGTCTGATTGTTCTGGTTCCCGAATCCGATGACGACCTGGAGAAGCAGGAAACCTACTTCCGCAATCGTGGTCTGGACCTGACTCTGATTGCCTCCCCGCTGGATTTCACCGCTCGTTACTTCGGTATGGTCGAAGCATTCACCGAACACATCCGCAAGCACCGTCCCCACACCACCTGGGTTGGATTCAGTGATGATGACACTTTCTTCCTTTCTCTGCCTACTATCGCTAAGGAGCTGAAGCTGTTCGACGAGACGAAGAAGCACTACATTGGTTCTCTGTCTGAGGCCAGCTGGCAAGTCGACACCTTCGGCCACATCGCTTTCGGTGGTGCCGGTGTGTTCGTCTCCAAGCCTCTGCTCGATGTCCTCTGGAAGTACTACGATGAGTGCCAGTCCTGGGGTGAGCAGCCTGGTGACCAGAAGCTCGGACAGTGTATTCAGCGATTCGGCAATACTCCCCTCACTCTTTGGCCCTCGCTCTACCAGATGGATATGACCGACCCCGTTGACGGTGTCTACGAGTCTGGCCGCAAGATTGAGTCGATGCACCACTGGAACAGCTGGTACTCCAAGGATGTTGTGAAG